GTTCGAATGCTGTTCATAGACTTCAGTTCAGCATTCAACACAATCATTCCTCAGCACCTGATTGGAAAGCTGAACCTGCTGGGCCTGAACACCTCCCTCTGCAACTGGATCCTGGACTTCCTGACTGGGAGACCTCAGTCAGTCCGGATCGGGAACAGCATCTCCAACACCACCACACTGAGCACTGGGGCCCCACAGGTGCTGTGTGCTCAGTCCATTGCTGTTCACTCTGCTGACTCACGACTGTGTAGCAATGCACAGCTCGAATCACATCATCAAGTTTGCCGATGACACGACCGTGGTGGGTCTCATCAGCAAGAACGACGAGTCAGCATACAGAGAGGAGGTGCAGGGGCTAACGGACTGGTGCAGAGCCAACAACCTGTCTCTAAACGTGGACAAAACTAAAGAGATGGTTGTTGACTTCAGAAGAGCACATTTAACATCACCTGGCGGAGAACCTCACCTAGTCGCTCAACACCAGTTCCATAACTAAGAAAGCCCAGCAGGGCCTGTACTTTCTGAGAAGACTGAGGAAAGCGCATCTCCCACCCCCCATCCTCACCATGTTCTACAGAGGGACTATCAAGAGCATCCTGTGCAGCTGCATCACTGCCTGGTTTGGGAATTGCACTGTCTCGGATCGCAAGACCCTTCAGCGGATAGTGAGGACAGGTGAGAAGATCATTGAGGTCTCTCTTCCCTCCATCACAGACATTTACACCTCATGCTGCATCCGCAAAGCCACCAGCATTGTGGATGACCCCACACACCCCTCTCACACACTCTTCACCCTCCTGCCGTCTGGTAAACCGTACCGAAGCATTTGGGCCCTCATGAACAGACTGTGCAATAGTTTCTTCCCCCAAGCCATCAGACTCCTAAACACTCAGAAACTGGACTGAAAGAACACATACACATACATATATACACACACAACTGAGCATCCTCCATTCTCTTTGCAATTTTTTTGCAAGTTTTTGCACATTACATTATGCTGCTACTATATTTATTATACTGTACATAGGCTGCTACTCTTATGTTTACACTATTTCAGCTACTTATATTGTACTCTTGTACTCTTTGCACTATTCTGACTGGATTCACTTTCAAATAGAACTGTGTACTGGTCGGCGCTTCGCTGGGACTTACTGTGCCTGTTGTATATCCCAGTAGTCATTGTACTGTCTTGTGCTGTCTGCACTTGTGCACTTTATGTATAAATTTATGTGGTCCCTTGTAGTTCTGTGTTGTTCTGTGTTTGTCTTACGTAGCACCTTGGTCCTGGAGAAACGTTGTTTCGTTTCACTATGTACTAACTGGCCGTATATGGTTGAAATGACAATAAACTCCACTTGACTTGACTTGACTTCAGTGATTCACAGTCACAGTAATATTGGTATTGGCACTATTTACCACTGCTATATGTCTTTGCTAGCACAGTGCACCATCAGAATGTGTTACAAACCCTCATGATGACTAGTTACACTAGTGCAGAAGGAAGGTTTGGAATTGAAATAAATTAAAACAGGTACATAAAAAATGTACATAAATAACAGTTGTTCTGTGACTGAATGGAGAACCTCCAGCCACCTGGGTCACTGGGGTTAATGAGATGTTGTGCATCATACCATTCACATCCATGGCAACACAGTGTGTAGGTACTGAAAGTGCATCTTCCAAATGCCCAGTGTGCACTCTACAACACTGCACATCCTCCAGGAATCCACCACTGTCTTCGAACTGGTTTCAGAGGCTGAGGAGTGAGAATAAGAGCAAACTTCCTGTGGTTTCCTCTTGCCATCTGCCCTGGCATTAGACTAAGGAGGGCATTTATTTGTACTAAGGGCAGCTATGTCCTGTAGATTAATATTTAAAGACAAAGTAATACTGAGATGAACACTTCACACTTCAGTGATGTTCTTTGGACAGAATGGATATTCCGCGACATTAAATGGTACTATAAACAGTTAAAAACTATACACATTGTTCATTACTACTACTACTGCTAATAATAATAATAATAATAATAATAATAATAATAATAATAATAATAAAAGTATTATTCTATTTATTATTAGCAGTGTACTAATAATAGACTAATAAGAGCTAGTGTAAGAATCACTTTGATTCAGGAAAGGTTTTTGGAAACATTCATTAAATAACATTCATAAGATAAAATTTATGAAATATTACAGTTACATCCTTTATATCCAAGTCCAAGTAAGATATACTACAGATAAACAGAGGCCAATAAAATCCTTCACATACAGTATATTGTGACACAGAAACACTTATATACAAATATAGTGATACAAGAATGTGTTTCTGTATCGGGATATGTACATTTGTGTCAGAATAACATCACAGCGTAATTACACTGTTCTGAAAAGCTGCTCTGTGATAATCACAAGGGTTATGCACTGACTGTTATTATAGAATATTCATTCACTGTAATTCAATAGCACTGACATCAGTAAACGATTCTAAGAGGGGTTTCAAGTACTTCTTAAATGGAGCTTCGAAACACAGCTTTAAATATGTAAGATGACACTGACTTTTGATATATTTTTATATCACAGCCAACTGGGCAGTGCTGAATCAACCATTGCTTATTTATGTTCACCTGGGCTTATATAAGCACTATAGTTTATTCAACACAGTAGGTTTTAATTGAATACTTGCGATTTTGTGGTATGCATGGATTAACTAAAATAGCATCATGAATCATGTCACTCTCTATCAACAGGCTGATACTGTAATGCGATTTTATGAATTACTGATAGAGCAACATTTTCACAGCGCCTCTCCTTCGAGGTCTCCAAGGAAACCGTGTTTCTACGGCTGCATCATTCAGTATGACTTCATACTAAACTTATATAACTGACATACTTAATAAGAAACTAGAACACTGCATGGATAAATCCACCTAGGCACCGTGCATACTGAGGCACGTCTTTGCATTAAGAGCCAGACTTGCATGTTCACAACCTTTTATTGTTTTGTAGAGAGCTTTGAGAGAACTTGACCACAGGTGAAATAGCACGAGGGTTCTTGTGATATTGCTTGTGGTACAATGTTTGCAGTACTCACTGGCTTTATCTTGTAAATCAGTGGCTAGCTTGCTGCAACGCATAACCCCTAAAAGCATCGTCCTGTTTCCGTGCGCGTTGCCATAGTGACGCGCGGGAATGCAGAATTCCTGTGGCCTGTTCCGCAGCTCCTCCGTCACAGTGACACCTCTGTCAGACTGCACCAAATTCCAGCCAATCAGTGGGATGAGCTCCAGACCCACGTGCTCTATTCACAAATTCTGGGGGATTCAGAACCTACTGCTTTATCTTACTCTTGCAATGAGTCACGCAACCCCCGCCATCAGTCTTACACTGCCTGGGTGCATCTGTTGCAAGAGACCTGTGCTGATGGAGCAAAGAGGCTGCAATCTGATGTTTAGAGGTTTCAATAATGAGACGTTTTCCTTCTAGGATGAATACAGAATGCATGTAAACATTGATCTTACTTTAAAAATAGACATGCTATTCAGGATGCTTTAGAAATTCAATCTGCTCTTCAACCTGCTGTTAACAATGCAGGCTATTGATTTTTTAACCCATAATCTCACAGACCACACCACACTGTGTCGTGTTTGGGAAAGGTGACCTCTCAAGTGCAAAACTAACCCTTTTGTTTTGAATTAAATAGACCCCAGGGGTAGCACATTAGCTGTACTGGAAGCAGATTAGCTTCAGCTAATCATTTGTTTAAAAAAAGAAAAGTGTCAAGGGTGATTTTAAATGGAGCGAGGTTTCAGCACCACGGTCAGCGGCCAAGACAACAAAGATTCAAATACTGGGGCCTGCTCTGATTAGTAAATAAATAAATAAGTACCTATATTACAGTATAGTCTTATCCTCTTGATTAGAATTAGCTAGACATATGCAAAAAAACAAACAAACAAAAAAAAGCTATCCACCAAAATACTGTTATATCATCAAAGGATTAGATTTAAGATTAGTGTCAGGGTGCTGTAATAGTCTTTATCCGCACGATTATCCCTCCATCATGAGATGGCTGTCCTGTGCCTGCCAAGGAATGACAGGAAGATCTAACCAAACTGTTGCTTTTCTTTTAGTGTGTGATGTCAACAAACCCTGCCTCACCAGAGCAAATCTAAGCGAGCAACTAAATCTAGTTTTTCAAATCTTT